GTGTAAAAATAGCTTAAACCCTAGCAATTGGCATGTAGGCAAATGGTTCTCACTAAGATACTAAGGAAAGAACCTTTGGAATCAGACCTGGGTTCAAATCCCAGCTCTTACTAGCTGTATGAGCTGGAGCAAATTATTTAATGGCTTTTTAATTTCCTCATCTGTAAAATGGCAGTAGTAATAATGTATCCCATAGGATTATAAGAATTAAGGAAAATATTTTATGGTTATAGTATCTTATACATGGTAAGTTCTTATTTAATGTCATTTCTTCTCGTTATAACAAAGTATGTTTTCTTGATTCAACTTGAAATTCTTTAGTGGAAGTAAAGTAGTAGAATGTAGAGGGCCTTGGCTCTTGATGCCACACTTTTTGAATATGAATTACGTCAAGAACTGTAGGCAGGTCCATGCTTCAATTTCCTAATCTCCAAGTCAAGTTGACTCTCAGGATTGTGGTGATTATATGAGATGATGTATATGAAGTACCTATTAAAACTGTGGGATGCTGTGTCAGGAAGAAATGTAGATACAGGGCTTTGAGAGTGCTGATCTTTCTGTTTTCAAAGACATTTGGAGTGTAGGAGCTGAAAGGGCACTTAAGATCATCTAGTTCATTCTCCCCATTGTTCAGATGAGAAAGCTGAGCACCTGGACTGTATGGTATGGTAGAGTCAAAACTGGCCTGGATTCTAGACCTTCTTGTTTGTCGCCCTCCGCCTGCCGCCCCCTGCATTTTGCTGCCTTTCATCAGGGTTATATTGGGTCTGTGGAGGCATTAGGACCTCAGAATATCTTTTGGCCAGTGTGCTGAGCTACCACAGATCAGGATTTTAAAACGGGATTGTGAAAATCATGTCAGAGCTGATAAAAATGGAACATTTATTCCTGCCCTGGAGAGAATTTGCATGTCTTAGGCAGATTCCTTAGACTCCTTGTCAAGTTGAGTTAGGTGTCTGATCGTTTGTTCCTTTCTTCACTCAGTGTCTGAGCACCTATTTTATGCCTGGCTTTTGCTAGCTGTTGGGGATTCGTGATAAATTAGACATGGCCCCTGAACTTAGAAGTCAGTCTGGTTGGAAAAACAGACCCTTAAAATAGGCAATTACTATAATGGTGCTGTGGGAACAGAGCGGGGGGGTGAAGAACTCCCCAACCTAGAGATCAGGGAAGACTTCACAGAAGAGATGACCTTTAAGCTGAGACCTGACAAGGATAAATAAAAGGGTTTGTGTGGTGAGGTGGCAAGGGAAGGGAAAGGGAAAGGCAGGATTCACAGGCAAAGGGAGTAACTTGAGACAATAGGAAGAGGTGTGAAAGACCCCATTACGTCTGGTGAACCATCACTGGTTCAGTGGTGTATAATGTGTGAAACATAAGTACAGGCATGCCTTGGAGATAATGTGGGTTTAGTTCCAGTTTTATTGTGATGCTCACTACGACAATAAAGTGAGCATCACAATAAAAACAGTCACATGAATTTTTTTCGTTTCCAAATGCATATAAAACTTATGTTTACACTATACTATAGTCTATTAAGTGTACATTTATGTTTAAATAAACAATGTACATACCTTAATTAAAAAATACTTTATTGCGGGCTTCCCTGGTGGCGCAGTGGTTGAGAGTCCGCCTACTGATGCAGGGGACACAGGTTCGTGCCCCGGTCTGGGAAGATCCCACATGCCGCGGAGCAGCTGGGCCCGTGAGCCATGGCCACTGAGCCTGCGCATCCGGACCCTGTGCTCCGCAACGGGAGAGGCCACAACAGTGAGAGGCCCATGTACCGCAAAAAAAAAAAACTTTATTGCTAAAATATACTAACCATCATCTGGCAATGCAAGGTTGCCACAAATTGTCAATTTGTAAAAAGTATAATATCTGTGAAGTGCAGTAACTCCAAGCACAGTAAAACAAGGTATGCCTGTAGTGGGAGATAAAGGAGAAGATGTAAGTCTGTAGAGCAGAGTTCTCAAAGTCTTTAAATAAAAGAGGTTATTTTTTAGAGCAGTTTTAGGTTCACAGCAATATTGAGTGGAAAGTACACAGATTTCCTATAAACCTCCTGCCCACACATATGTACAACTTACCTCACTACCAATATCCTATACCGGGGTGGTACATTACAATAGATGAACCTACATCAACACATCATATTCACCTTAAGTCTGTATTTTACGTTAGAGTTTACTCTTGGTGTTGTACATCTATGAGTTGAACAAGTATATGTATATAAAGACAAATATCCACCATTATAGTATCATATAGAATAGTTTCACCACCCTAAAATTCCTCTGTGCTCTGGTAATTCATCCCTCCTTCCCCTCAAATCTGTGGCAACCACTGATCCTTAATACTGTCTCCATAGTTTTACCTTTTCCAGAAGGTCAGATAGTTGGAAGCATATGGTATATAGTCTTTTCAGATTGGTTTCTTTCACCTAGTAATATGTATTTAAGGTTCCTCATTATCTTTTCATGGCTTGATAGCTCATTTCTTCTTAGTGCTGAATAATATTCCATTTTCTGGATGTATACAGTTTACTTATCCATTCATCTATGGAAGGACACCTTGGTTGCTTCCAAGTTTTGGTAATTATGAATAGAGCTGCTGTAAACATCCACGTGAAAGTTTTTGTGTGAACAAGTTATCTGCTCCTTTGGGTAAATAACAAAGGAGCACGAATGCTGGATTGTATGGTAAGAGTATGTTTAATTTTGTGAGAAACTGCCAACGTGTCTTCCATAGTGACTGTACCATTTTGCATTCCCACTACTAATGAATGAAAATTCTTGTTGCCCCATATTCTTGTTAGTATTTGGTGTTGTCAGTTTTGGATTTTGGCCATTCTAATAGATGTGTAGTGGTTTTTCACTGTTGTTTTAATTTCAATTCCCTAATGAAATACGATATTGAGTATCTTTTCTATCTGTATATCTTCTTTGGTGACGTGTTTCTTCAGGTCTTTTGCGTATTTCATTAATTGCGTTTTCTTATTGTTGAGGGTTTTTTTGTGTATGAAATTATAGCTTTTATTTTTAAAATTTTTATTGGGGTATAGTTGACTTACAATGTTTTGTTAGTTTCAGGTGTACAGCAAAGTGAATCTGGTATACATATACATATATCCATTCTTTTTTAGATTCTTTTCTAAAAGCATAGTAATAATATATATTACTATTATATAATGTAATATATGCCATTACAGAGTATTGAGTAGAGTTCCCTGTGCTGTACAGTAGGTCCTTATTAGTTATCTATTTTATATATAGTAGTGTAAGAGAATACAAAGGCCTTTGTATTGGGAGGGGTTGGGAGTCCAAAGACCTCAGTCCTGGCCCCAGATCTGTTTCTAACTTGCTCTGTAACATTAGGCAGGCTACTTAACTTCTTGGAATCTCTGGCTTCTTCTGTCAAATGGGCACCAAAATCACTACCCTACTTGTCACACAGTTGTTTTGAGGCTCCAGTGGACTAGGTCTAGCTAATACCAAGGCCAGAAACTCTTTTTAGTTGGAAAAGGATTATATTAGTTTGCTAGAGCTGCTGTAACAAATTAGCACAAACTAGGGGTCTTAAACAACAGAAATTTATTGTTTCAGTTTTGGAGGCTAGAAGTCCAAGATCAAGGTGTTTGTAGGGTTGGTTCCTTTTGAGAGCTGTGAGGAAAAATCTGTTCCATTCCTCTCCCCTAGCTTCTGGTGATTTGTTGGGCTTGAAGAAGCATTGCTCTGATCTCTGTCTTTATCTTCATAAGGTGTTCTCCTTGTGTACATTTGTCTTCAAATATCCCCTTTTTATAAGGACATTGACTGGATTAGGGGGCTGAACCTACTCCAATTTGACCTAATCATATTTTAAATAATTATATCTGCAATGGCCCTGTTTCCAAATAAAGTCACATTCTGAGGTACTGGGAGTTAGAACGTATGAATCTTGGTGGAATACAAGGGTACGACAAGGGCATGACAACTCTTTAAATACTGAAGCTTTTTATGCCAGATCAGCAGAACCTTAGTGAACACCTACTGTATGCAACACCCTTGATGATTACAAATATTCAGACTTAGTGATTCTTTAAGGTTGTAGCCTAGGGAAGCAGCATAGTATAGTGGTTTAGTGCTCATGGCCTGGGCCAGACTGCCTGGATTTGGGTCTGACTGCTGCCAGTTACTCTCCATTTGATCTTGGGCAAATAACTTAGTCTCTGTGCTGCAGTTTCTTTATCTGCAGAATAAGGATGACAGTACCTAACTACAGGGTTGTTGTGAGGCTACAGTGAATATTAATAAAGAACTTGAATTAATACATAAGATACAAGGATATACTTTACAGCACAGGGCATATAGCCAATATTTTATAACAACTTTAAATGGGGTATAATCTATAGAAATATTGAATTACAGTGTTGTTCACCTGAAACTAATATAATATTGTAAATCAACTATAATAGAAAAAAGAAGGAACTTGAATCATTGCACATGATAAAGTATTAGCTATTCATTTAATTAAAACAATTACCAAATCTAAAATTCTGTAATGTAGAGAACCTTAAAGTGGTCCATAATCAAGGATCAAACAGGCAGAAGCAGGTTATATAAGCTCATAGAATGTAGGATATCCGGGTTGGAAGGCTCTTTAGAGACCATCTACTTGAGTCTTCTCATTTTGCAGATGGGGAAACCAGGGTTCAGAAAAAAGGAAGTGACTTGCTCTGAGTCAACTGACTCATTAGTGGTAGAACCAGGACATTGTGATGAATGTTCTTTCTTTGCTTTAGTTCAATGCTTTGCTTTCGTTCAATGAAAAATTAAGCCTTTAATCATGTATTGAGCATCTACTCCAATTTAGGTCTGGCATTGGGCTCTGTAAATACACATGTGAATTTGTATCACAATCCTTGGCCTCTAAAGGAGCTTAGAGCTCAACAAAGAGCTAAATAAGCCTAAAAATGTAGTAATGTCCTTGTTTTTATCTCCTTTTTCCTGTTTCTCTTACAGCAAATAAAAAGAAGGAGAAGGAACGGCCAGAGATTTCTCTTCCTTCAGATTTTGAGCACACCATTCACGTTGGTTTTGATGCTGTCACAGGCGAGTTTACAGTAAGTCCTGGGTCACAGAAAGACATTTGGTCTTTCAGAGTTCTGGCTATGCACTGTTAGGTTTAATCCTTTCCAGACTTCCTGATGCCTCTATCTTTGCCCGAGACCCTCATTACTATCTTCTTATAGTAATGAGAGGGACACGTTCCTCCCCTCCAGAATTGTACTAGAGAAGCCTTTGAATCTCTATTCCTTAAATAGACCTCGGTTAAGTGGCTCCTTGGCATCAGGCTCTGTGCTGGGCACTGATGATCCAGAGACAAATCAGACATG